TCACCGTTTTTAATGCTGTTACAGATGCAGGGTGTCTGGTGTCCGGACAGAAGGTATGTTATCTTCTTGCGCTTCGAGCAACATGTTAGACAGCTTTGTTGAATCTCAATGGTCAAAAGTGTTATTTATGACGATTTATGTGTCAGATGGGGGCAAGTGACATATCACAGTCAAAAGATGATTTAGTGACTTACGTCGTTTATTTGCTTATAGCGACAGCCATATGGTGTACAGTAACCTGAACAGAGCCAAAACGATTATCTAGACATTACGTCTGATTATTAGCTGCAGCTACTCTGGTCGATACAGCAAAATCTAACTTGCGACTAAAGCAAAGTCGAGCCTAACTTGCTTTATATTCGTAAATCGCGCCTGGGTTAAGTCAGAGTGCAGTCGAAGGAATGATCGTTGCATCAACCAGAATAGGATCTTCTAGTTTCCGCATGCGTGAAGACACTTAGTGAATCGGTGACACAACTGAATCGCCAGATTTATGAGCTTATCGGGCAGCCCGACATTACTAAGAGCAGATGACCTACGTTACTGACTCCAAATGAAAATCAACAGGAAACAACACGAGAGAGGGTCAGTGATCGAAAAGCATCGCTCACTTAGATCTATAGTACAACCGATGGTAGGAAAACCAACTTGCGGTGAAATTTCACGTAAAGAACTGATTCACGGCAGATAATTAGAAAGTTTTTCGGTCGGTCGGTTATTAATAATATAAAATCTACCACGGCTTTCGTGGTAACTTTCCAATAACAATTTTCATCTTCTTCAAACAACCGTACATCATACAGTAATGTATGTTCTTTTGTGACACCTGCAGAAAAAATTGTTTAATCGAAAAATTGTACATTGCAAACAGTATAAAACACGGCTTATTAAAACAGGAAACGCAAATAACAGTATGGTCAATCAGATGATTAACCAGTACCGTCGTTTCGGTCCTTGTCTCACGGACCTTCTTCAAAATTGAAACGGTTGATTTCGGACGTCGTATCTGTGGTTCGCAGAAGCTTCACGTTTGGAGCCAGAAGGGGTCAATACTGGTTAATCGTCCGACTGACCATACTGTTGCCTTGTGTCAACCGTGCCTGCCATGTGTCGTTTACAGTATAACAATCAAAGTATAAATGAAACACTTCGAATCTATATCTTCGAATTTGCACTCTGAAACATCTTTCAAGAAAAATGTAGTTTAAAGCCGTCGTACATTTTACATTATCACACCATTTAATGCCAATGAATTGCGTCTGGCACCGAATGTGGAAGCCGCAGCCTACAGGCTTTATGCAAGGTGGTTGACAAAATTCGATACAACTAGAGTTACTTTAC